GTGATCTAAGACATATATATATATATATATATAATGCAGCAACAGTACTTGTGTCTATCTGTGTTCTCGAGCTGTTGCTGCAATATATCACATTTATTAAAACTGTTTAGCATTAGAACATGTCAGAACATGTATATATATAGATAGATAGATCTCAAACAGACACACACACACACACACACACATCCAAAACACAATCTTGTACACTTTGGAAAGGTGACTGAAATTGAGACATGCATTGTTTAACTAGGAAGTTGACATTGTAAGGGTCTTAGTTTAGCTAATCTGGAAGAAATGCAGCTTAATCTTTTTTTTTAAAAAGTCCCAATGTTGGAAAAAGAAAATAAATATTTGAAAACTCTTCCTACACTGAACTGCCAATTCAAATCAAACTGAAGATTTCCTTGTCTGACTGTAAGCAATTATGTTCTAGTATTGTCCAATGAAATTTGCATATCATTATTAATGTTGATATGATTGGCTAGAAGACAGCTCAGTTTAGCAACAATCGTCTCCTTTTGCCAAAACTACTAGAAGATTCTTGGTAAACATATTTACAGCTTTTCTTCAAAGTATTTATTTTAACAAGGATAACTTCCTTCACTGTTTAACCCTGGGTTTCATATCTGCCATGTTTGTTCTAACAGCGTTAAACAGACCACATACTGTTTTTTATTTCTTGCAATAACTGGCTGTCATGCAGTATTGAAATGCTTAGGTTGTAATTTCAGTGTTTAAAGTTTGTCAAAGAATAGCTGTCTGAAAATTTTTAGCTTGGCAACAATTCAGCATTTTTTTCCCATGCTGAACTAACCCAAATGTATGGTACCAATAGAAGTACAAATAGTTTCACAACTGTGCAGATGTATGTATGGTATCTATTTAGTCTTCTCTGTGCAAGAGCTTTTCCTAACCTGGTGTCTTCCAGATGTGATCAATTTCAATTCCCATATGTCCTCTGCTGGCTGGGAATTATAGGAGTTGAAGTCCAACATATCTGGAAAGGGCTAATTAGGAGATGGTGCTTTACATAGTGCATGTAATACCTAGATGTCAGTTGAGTTACATCAAAATGAAAAGTGGATTAAGTAAGGAACTGAGGGATATAGCAATCATAACTCTCTACAATAGGCTAGGACACATAATTTCCTAAGGAAGTTTTGGACTACTTTCATAGCCCCTGAATAATGTCTGTGTTGGCTGTAGTCAATGGGAGATGTGGTCCAAAATATCTGGAGCACAACAGGTTGTCTACCTCTCATCTGCACAAACTATCAATGGCTCTTCAGGGTTGCAGACAGGAATATTTCCCAGCTCTACTTGAAGATGTTATATATTATTATTGCACTATGACTCTTGATTGATTCCCCCCCCCCATCTTAAATTTGATGTCATCCCTTTGCAAAAGGGAAAATTTTCCTTGATTAACTGGACATTAAAAAACATACACACACAGTTTCCTAGTCAGTTGTGATTGTGCCCTTACACTATATTTATTTATTTTTTACTGAATCTGCTATTTAATAAGGAAGATGGTAGGTCAGCGCTGTTATGATAATGGTGAAAAACTTGTTCCCACATGAATAATAGGATATGACTGATCTAACCTAGTCAGTTAAAGGCCTAGTAGTCACATATGTAGAACATGCTAAACTTAGCTTTAACTTAGTTTTGTTTTCATATTTTTAGACTATATGAAGCTCACCATATACTGTAGCTAGCTTATAGCTCAGCATATTGGGCAAACACAGAAATGGGTTCAGACAGTGATTACTTTAATCATATTGTACAAAGTTACAGTGCTTTGTGTCATCACGAATCCTGTGCAATCAGGTCTTCCTTTAATGCACGGCCTTACCACTTATTTCCAATAACGCCACAGAAGAAGCAGATCTGTCTACTCTGCACTTAGAACTTCAGTACACCTGAAGGAAACCTTAATTCTTCTTGAATGTGGGCATCACCTTTTTCTCTACACAGCTGACAATTTATCTTGTCTGT